GGGGGGTGATTTGGAGGTGAGGAGAGAGGGAAGGGGCGAAGTTGCCTTTGAGGCTTTGAAGTGAGGGTCTGGTGGGGCTCCTGCGGTCGAGTGGAGGAGGCAGAGGCCTCTCTTGTGCCGGAGAGCGGGGGACGTTTGAGAAGATGGCCCTGTTCTCACCCTCCTTTTCGGCTGCCTTGTAGCGCTCTTTAGATTCCCTTTTTTGGTAAGGCTTTTCAGCCTTTAAAACTCATGCGTGGCTGTATATCGACTTCATGTTATCGTCTCCTTTTTAAAACAGTATTTAACCAGGCGAATCCCTCAGAATCCTAAATATCAGCATATAAAAACTCGCCTTGATACTGGTAAGTGAAATCATCTTAGTAAAAACTACCATAGGTAGATGTAAGAGTAGACCAAAGTAGCTATGCCGAATGTCTTAACTGCCTCTGTGCCCTGAGCTACTTTACGCTGCGCGTGATGATGCAGTTCTGTGAGAACTCGCATCGCAGTTGTGATGTCTCACCTTGTCACTGCTGTCAGGCACTGATGTGACAATTCCCACTGAGGTTACTGCGCTTGGAGTAACCTCAAGCTATATGGGCTTTCTTTGTATAAAATGATATCGTGGCAAGAATGTAAATCAGAATAATTATTTGGAGGGGTCTCTGGGCTTTCTGTTGATAAGACAGTTGAATTTTGTCCAGTAGTATTTGCCAAAACTCTCCAAACAACAGCGTTGGGAAAGGGATAGTTTGTCCCCAGTCACACTTCAAGTGGTGCGTCAGAATGCAGATTAAAATGCCACGGTCCTGATTTCAGTCCTCTGTCTAGTGACATACGGAGTTTTAGATAGTGTCTTTCTAAAGATCAGAGCTTTGATCTGCAAAACATCACCAAGGCAACTTAAACTTTCAATTAGAGAGGACTTGGTGTGGAACTTGTAAATGGGATGGAGAGAATGTAAAGAGGCTGCTTTTCAGGAGTATTGTTGTTCTGACTAGCAGGGTGCAGATACCTTTGTGCCTCTTATGGAAAATCCCGTAAAATAAAACTAAGGTAGGTGCGTTCGTAGAGGAATGGAAATGTGCTGTGAGAACGCATAGAAGATTTGGGCTCCTGCTAGGCATGAGCGCTCCTGGTGACTTCCTCTATCCAGCGTGGAAATTTCATCCTTTGGAGCGCTGCTCATTCCCACAGACAGTTGGTAGCCCAGGTCCAGCAAGTCCTTTGACTGACTTGGCTATTAAGCTTTGCTGTGGGTGTATGAGAAGAGGGCAAGGAGGAACATGATGTTACTTTTGATTTTACGCTTGCCTCGTATTCTTATGGTGAAAGAGGATCTGGAACAAACGCTTGTTACTGTAATCTGATCTTTTCTTTCAAAAATAATTTAAGCCTGAATATTGCTGAAGAAAACCACTAAAATAAAGAACTGTTACGAGCAGTTTGATCTTCGTTACAGGTAACAGTTTGACAAAATACACCGAGAAGTTGGAGGAGATCAAAAGAAGTGAGTATCTTGCAAGGAGCAGAATTTAGCTTGCAATGGGTTAGTTCAAAACTGAAAGAGCATCGAATTGCAGGTAGAATCCCAGGCCCTTCGTTTGCTTGGAAATCTCTGCTCTCTGACGATGCCCCCAGGGATTTACAGGAATCGGCGTTAGAAGCTCGCCATGATAGGATATGATTATACTGGGCTGCAGTACTTAGGCGCTTACCTTGTTTCTCTGCTGGATATCTTCCATTTTCTGCTGTGCCTCATTTCTCTGTCTCTCCCAGTACTTTACAGTTTTACTTTAAGTAAGATACCAGGCAGACAGGTCTGGGAGTTTTTCTAGAACCTTCTGTGCAGAAATTTTGTTACTGAATGGAAATGAGGTAGGACAAAGCTCTGTGGATTAAGAAAGCTAAGTTAGACTCTCCTGGAAGTCTGAGACTGCACTCCTAGGACTTTATTTTCGTTTCCGATATATTTATATATACACACACATATACATGCACGTACATATGCATATAATTTTAGCATACTTAGATTTCTATCAGAATACTTCCACGTAGGAAAGAGTCAAGCTCACCTCTGTGTAACTCACGGATCTCACTGGAATTAGTAACATCAATACTTTAACACTCTGGGCCATTCACACTAAGAAAAGCCTACCTGAATTTTATTACAGTCCATTTTTGCGATAAAGATAGACTGACTTTTTTTTTAATTCTTACTAATAAAGCTAATGTTATGCTTTTTTATTTTCAATTACTGTCATGGTTTTTTTTTTTTGCATAGGAAGACAGAAAAACTATCAAATCCAAAAGCTGCCTTTATTGATGTGAAAGAGAAATCTCCACAAATAATGAGGATGATCAGGATTTTGAATGTTCATTTTTGGCTCTTATAACCATGTACTTTGTTTCCCTAACTCAATAACGTTCAAATTATAAGGGAGGTCATTTATCTGTCGTGTAAATGTATTTGTGCTTGCCTTTGTGCAAAATGTTCCTTTGTTGCTGTTTTTTAAATATTGTGGCTTTGGGGGGAAAATCAAAAGAGAAAAGACCTTGTTTCCCAAAATCCTTTGTTGATTGACTGAGATTTCAGTACACAGCACTGGATTGTCATCGCTTTCTATCTGTGCTGAAAATCTTGTTGTGTTGGTCTAGTTGGTTTTATATCTGTACTGTGAATCTAATTTCATTGTATGTAGGAGTCCTCTTGTTTAATCTTGGTCCTAGAGACCCGTAGAAACTTTCTCATTATGTTTGTGCTGAATAGACAGCTTGTGTTCCCTGGCAATTTAGAAACTTCTGTGCCTTGATTTCTCATGGATAGATGACACCATTTGGACACTACTTTAAAAACCCAGCACAGTCAACTCTCTGTCTGTTGTGTAATGTGAGAGAGTGAGACCTAGTACTGCAAGCCTAATGTGGAATCAAAAATGATAAGATAGCTGGAACTATGATTATTTGTCCTTTGGAGGACTGACTTGGGCAGAGGCACCAAGTCTCTTCTTGTTCTTCGATGTTGCTTCGCTCGTTGCTGAAGCACAGAGAAGAACTTCCCTGAGTATACAACAGAGTAGTTATAGCTTCAGACCAGTTCACCGAATCACCATGTCGGAAAATCCTAACGGACCTTCCAGGATAGAGCCAGGTACGTGGTGTTGCTTTGGCGGTCAGAAGCAGCACTTTTGCTACAGTTTCTGGTATTAGCTGGGAAGCTGGCCCAAGCATTCAAAATGGCTTGCTCCAGGGCAGGCTTAGCAATAGCAACAGTTCTCTGTGTTGACAGAAATAATCTCGGGTGGAAAAGCCTTTATGATCTTTGCTTTTCTGAAATCTAGTTTATGTGCAGATCTTGTACTTTAGACCTGTGGTTTGAAGTGTACGCTGTAAGTCACAGACTGCTGGGTTATTTCAGATGGACTCTTTTTTTTTTTTCCTGCCGTGACAGTGATCGCCTGCTCACGATATTTGCTTGCCAGCTTTTAAATAGATAAAAATATATATATTATTTAAAAATATATATATATATATATTTTGCAATACTGAATCTGGGGAGCCTGCTTGCTCTGAAACGCTGAAAATTAGTTGGTCTACCTCCCCAGGAAGTGTGTTTAAGAGCGAGAGGATAGGAAAGTTTAAAAAAAACACTAGAGTCGAAAGCTCACGGTATCTCTCTCAGCATCTGTCCTACTGCTGTGAAGTACCTGTTGATTGTGTACAGGGGGAATCTTGTCTGTCAGGAAGTGTGTGATCACCACTTGTGTTGGGAAGGGATTTCACCTGCCGGGGCTCACTTGGCTCCTTGCCTAAAAAAAAATGTCAGCTGGAGAGTTTCCCTAAGTTAATTTTGTTGTAATTTTTTGGGGTGGTTTTTATAGAGCTATGGATTGGAACCCCCCACCTTCTCCCCGCCTGTTTCTTCACTTAAGCTACAGAGCAGTCAACAGATGGTAGGAATTAGAATTGCTTAACTGGCTGGATTTGATAAAGGTCTTGTATTGCAGTATTAGCCCTCTTAGCCAAACAGTTGGCGACAGACCAGTTTGGAATGTCCTCCAACAGTTACTAAAATTATTAAGAAAATGCAAAGGATTTTTCGTGTTTAGGAAAAAAACAAAAAAAACCTGACTTTAGAGGTAGGGCCTGATGAGGGAGGAGAGAAAAAATGGAGAAGCGATCTTTCTTTTTTTTAAAGGAGATTTTAGATTAGGTAGAGGATGGCTTCTAATGACTTAAAAAGCTGCATACCGAATTTTGTTAAAACTGCAGTGCCTAACACTGGAAAAAATTTGTTCATCTCCCATAAATTTCTCTGCTAGTCTGGGATTGTTTTTTTTTTCCTCCCCCCTATATGTTTTCCTCTGCTCTCTTCTTTCTAGTTGTAAATTTCCCAAAGGATGGGGCTTCCATTACTTCCCATGGGAGGCTAGTCTGTATCGAGATGTTCCTATTGATAATTGTGTTAAGGTCTCTCTCCTACTACATACGCCCTTTTGTTTCAGCTAGAAGGCTTCTCTCTTCCTGCTGTTTACACATCTCAAGTATCTGTACACAATCAGACTTCCCTCCTTGTCATCGCTTACTTAGCGCTGTTAATCACTGCTCTGGATTTTTTGCCAATCCTTCCAACAGATCGCTCAGTTTTCTTGCCGTCTAAGCTCTGTGTTCAAGCTTAAGATTCAGTTAGTCCGGTTTCTCTATAGAGATTGTGTGCGCTTCAAGCTGGTACCGACGCCATTCTACCCTTGAGTTGTCCACATTAAAATCCTCATGTCGATTCTCCGCTTCTTTAGATAGCTGTGATAACAAGCCATGGGATTCAAAATTTTAATTTCCAGGTGAAGTAAGAAAATCTTGACCGTTTCAATCAGTACTGTTTTATATAGTAGCCCTGCTTGGTATTTTAAGAAATCGTAGTCTGAGATACAGTACACCTATGCTCTGACTCTGCTGTAAATTATACAATTAAAATTCAAGTCCTCAGAGTTTTACCTTCTCGTTTAAGAGACTTTGCAACAGTACTGGGCCTCAAAGAACAACAGGGAAGGTGATTAAATTTGTGAAAATGTTTCCTTCCCCCAGTGAGAGAAGAAAGCACAAAAGAATACAGGCTTGGGTCGAGAGGCAACTAAGTCTGTCTTCTGCCTTTCCATCGTATGTGGGCAAGATCTCTCTTTATAACCGGTATTACTCTTTACAAAACCTTTGGCTTTGTTCTGATCCTGCAGAGCAAGCTTATTTCCCAGCAATCCTGCCTCTTTGTGGAAGAGAGTCTATGAGAATAGCTGGGACTAAGCCTTTCGCCTGGTATTGGCCAAAACTGGGAATACCTGTGAGAAATTACATTGTCCTCTTCTGTTTTGTTCTTGAAGATTACAGGTACAAGAAAGACGAGCTGTTTAAAAGACTGAAAGTGACTACTTTTGCCCAGTTGGTATGTACAGCTCTTTTCTCTTTGGTTTCTGAAGTCGTCATTATCTCTTGTTAACGGCATCCTTGCTTCGTCTAAAGCCTTATATGTATATATGTAATTATATAGACAGTATATGTTCTTTTGTAACTGGATTCTTCTTCAGCTTCTTATTTTCCTGCTTCTGCTCTTGTAGATGACCCTTAGTAAAAGCAAACCGTATGGGCCAATGTTTTCAGAGCAGCCAAACACTTTTAGCTGGAAATTGAAGTTTGCGATGATTCTGAGTGTTTCCAAATCCAATTTTTCTTTTTAATCCACTTAAGAGGATCTTCAAGCCTCTTACAAAAGAAAAGGGCTATGTAAAGTAGGATTCAAATCAGATCTCGTGGAGCTTTGTGTCAGGTAGTTACAGCATGAAACCCTAACAGCAGAAGGCAGGAAGGTTGCGACTTCAAAGCTTTCCGCATGCTTTTTAATTAAAAATGTAATGTATAATGAGTCAAAATATGTAAAAGGGGAAAACATGACTGGGAAATAGAGTGTTTGTTGCTTATATACTGGTCTAAGAAAATCAATAAAAACTTTAAAAAAAAAAAAAGCTTTTTTCTAAGGGGAGAAGAAAATACACACAGGTATTAAAGGAGTGGGTTTTTACAGAAGTGTATGTTTCGTTCCATTGGTCCATTAAAACCAGTCTTGTGACTCTCACTACTGTGATGAACTAATGTAATAGATGACTATCGTAGGTCTGTTGTCACAGAGCAATTAACTGTATGCCGTTTTCTCCTGTGTAGTATGTATTGTGAAATGTTTTGTTTGCAGCCAGTGACTGAACTTCAGAAACGTCAGAAAAAGTTGTGGTATTCGGTTTGGCCAACAAGGTACATCTGAGTTTTCTTTATTCTAAAGTTGGGCGATCTTTCTTTTTGCTGCAACTTCCGTTCAACAGAAAGACACACCTGCAGTATGGGCCTCAAATAGACCTCTATATTTGACCTTGAAGTCCGGTCGACGTTTCGCTGAGTTAAATGTGTTTTGGCATGAGGATCTTTTTTCCTTAAGCTGATCCCTACTGTCTTTCAGTGACACCGGTGTATTCATATCAAGGTATTGTTGTTTGCTTTTGTTTCCTGCAGGCCATCCAGGTTGCTTCTCTATCTGATGAAACGTTAGAAGTGACAAATGAAGAGATCCAGAAACTGGAAGGTAACAATATTTATTGTAAGCACAAAAGAGAAAGAGCTGTAGTTCCCTGTTGTATTTTGAACTGTGTCCTGGCAGGCTTAGCTGGCTGTTCAGCAAGTCTTTTAAGCAAAGATAAAAATAGTTTAAGCTCTGGCCTGGCCTACAGCCGTTCCAGTTTGGGATGCATGGCTCATAAAAGCAGGAAGGTTTGCAAATAAAATGCTTCAAAGAAAGGTCTTGTGCTGTAAAGGATATTTCAATAACTCAGTAGGTAATCGTGCATCAGAATTAAAGGGATTGTAACATTTTTAGTGAGTTCTTAAAACTGAGATCTTTAGCTCTTAAAAATCATGCATCTCTTTCTTATTTTTAATATCAGACTCTCAGGGAGTCCCTGTTATAAGAGGATGAAGAGAAGGATGTCTTTAAGAGACATACTTTCTTCTAAGAATAGAAACGAGGCTTAAAACTTACTTGTTTATTTCCTGTGGCATTTTAACTCTTCGTACCCTGTTTGCTCCCCAGATGGTGATTCTGCTACTTCAGATGCCGAACTCATAGCAGGGACAAATGGGAAAGGAAGCCCCAGTGAGGCACCACTTAATCCGCTCCTGTTCATAAACAACACAGGAGCTGGAGAGTCGTATCGGTCCACACTGCAGAGGTACCAGATAATACAAAATTTTTTTCCTATCTTAAAAAATAATTGTTTTTATGCTGCTATTTATTTTACATTGCCGTATTTAAAAACACTGTTGCCACCTGATGATTGCTGAAGTAGCTACCAAGGGAATACACTTGTGGGGTTCTGTCCAGTTCCCTGTGTTCAAGAATCCATGTTATAAACTGCTCTGGTGAACTTGATTATGTGCCTTCCTGATGGTCTTAATGGGATTATCCTGTGAATGAGAACGAGAGTCCAGTTTCCAAATCCAATACATCACTAGTCGAGGTCAGAGATACCAGGAAGACATTGTAAGAGGAAACTTTGTCCCAGCCCTTGCTGTACCAGTGCAAACGTTAGCAGAAGACTTGAGATGCTAGCCTGACAAACTTGGAGCTCACGTACCAAAGCTATACCAAAGTTTAGTGACCAGTAGGAGTATCTTGAGTAGAATGCAGCATTGCTCTTATTTTGGAGGTTTCCGTTCAGCGTCCTATAGCCAACCTAGTGATGGAGTGGGAAACTGGAAACCTCTGCAGAGCACTGTGGGTGGATTACTGACAGGTACTTACTCTGCCTGGACTACTGAGATCTGCTGTGGCAACTTTTTAGGCTTATTCTCCCTCAGCTCAAATAATGTAACGTAGTCACTTAGGACATGGAATAAAGCACCTGGACTTGACTGATCCAGAAGCAGTCAGTATGTTCACATAGCAAGGCTGTACTCTGTTTTACCACAGCAACAATTATTTCTTTCAATGTACTTGTTAATTTGATTCCCGTAAAGTTGTTAACAAATGCACAGAAAGGTTCTGTCTCATGTGGTGTCTTGCTGTATTGGAACATAAAGGAACTATTGGAAAACAGAAAATAAAATCATAGAAAAGCATGCTGACGTGGTTAAGACGTTCAGAAGGATTCATGGAGTGAGAGCTTGCATCATAACCTCCTCTTTCTTCTTGTAGTGTTATAAGTGGTGTTGGTGAACTAGATATAGAAAAGGACGCTCCAAAGAAAGTGGACCCTCAGGCTAAAGACATGCCTTATCCCGACTGCCCCTTCCTGCTTTTGGACGTACGAGATCGCGATGCATACGACCAATGCCATATTGTTGGAGGTAAGAGAGGGCCAGAATCCCACAGCAGCCCAACGTCGGCTGCCTTCATACGTTCAAGCTCTTTGTGTCGGATTCTGGCTATCTTCATTTTTCTTCCCCTGAGACGGGCATCAGTGTCCCCAACAGAGGCAGTCTTTTCTGGCTGAGAGCCAGCACCACAGCTCCGTATGAAAGACCTGGCGGCAGGGGCACCGACCAGCTAAGCAGGGCATAGAGGGAGTCCCAATAACTGTGGTCAGGAGGCAAAGGGGAGCAACGTCAGGTTCAGAGAATTTTTAGAGACCTTTTCTTCCACAAATAGCTATTTTGATGATCTGCTCTCTGCACTCATCCAATACAGACATCTCTTCCTGGAAAGGCGAGAGGAGACTGAGATGATGTTAATCCCTTGTTCAGTGGGTTTCCAAGTCTCTTGTACTCTTACAAGCCAGTGTCAGTTGTATTCTAGATCGTGGGATGGTTAGTGTTCAGTCACGATATGATTTTTCTCTCTCTTTTTTTTTTTTTTTTTGTTTTTCTCTGCAGCTTATTCCTACCCTATTGCAACACTATCTAGAACCATGAATCCATATACCAATAGCATTCTGGAATATGTATCCTTTATAAAGTGCTGGAAATCAAGAGAACTGGAGGGAGGTTGATGGGGGGAGCTTCCAAAAAAAAAAAAAAAAAAAAAAAAGGAGATATAGCAATCGCCAATGCCAGTGATTAGCCAGCAAAATCTCAGGATTTCAAGAAGGGTGGGAAGGGAAATCCTTTATGCTGGTGGGGATTACCTGGTGGGGCTCCGCTGCAACCATTGGATGCCAGGTTTGAACCTCGAGGTTGTAAGGCCTGTTGACGTCACTGAGCGCTGCCTGAATTTGGCATTTCTTGGGATATGTTCTTGCCCCTGGAAGGCAAATCCATACTACCTGGGCGCCTGTCCCCTGGTACTGCTGAAGTGCTGGGCAGCTTGAGGGGGGTGCTGATCAAATCCTTTGGCTTCCTCCCAGCACGTTGATGGGGACTGCCTTTTCTCTGGAGGGTAGAAAGAGGATTATTAGCTAGGATTAGGCTGGTAATTTCTCAGGTTGATAGCTTGTGAGGGCTGCAAGGGAGAGGAGAGGGTGGTAATGAAGGTGCTTCTTGCTACTGTCTGTTACTAAATAACCTTTAGAACAGTGGTGGAACAAGTGCCCCTCAGGGCTGTGGGGATTAAGCAGAGTCCTTCCAGTATCTGGCAAGCTTCAACTACTAAGAAATTGCTTTAATACACAGGTGAAGGAGAGGTGTTACTGACTGATAGCTGCAAATCGAGTAGGGACTCTTTTTGCCTCCAGTCTCATTTGTTTGTCTCTTCTTCTTTCTAAAAGATATTAACAATCAATTTGAGTTTATAAATGAAGAATGGTCTTTAGCTTTTCTACCTATCAGAAAAATGCACATGGAAAAATTATTATTTTGTATGATGATGACGAGAGGATAGCCAGCCAGGCTGCTACAACCATGTGTGAGAGGGGCTTTGAAAACTTGTTCATGTTATCTGGAGGTAAGTGGGGATGGGCAGGACTCTCTGAAGTCTCAGGTGTGTAGACTTGGCGTGGGTTGCATGAGCTGGGCATGCAGAGAAAGAGCTTGATCTTTTTTCCGCTCTGTCAAGTGTTTCACTTGTGACTGGTAAAATCACTGATCCCATCTTGGACCCCCCTAGCTGGTGGTCACTCAAAATATGCGATCCGTGTGTCTGCAGGCCTCAAAGTCCTTGCACAGAAGATCCCGGAAGGACTGGTCACGGGCTCGCTCCCAGTGTCGTGCCAGGTGGTGACTCACACTGTATCTGCCCGAAAAAAGGCCCCCCCCAAAGTGCCACCCACGCGTGCTGAGAATAAATGGAGATTTACTGCAGATGATCTACAAAAGATGAAGTATTATCTAGAAGAGGAGCAGATTCCTTCAGATACTGCCAGTAAGGCTCCCGGACTAACGCTAGAATTGCTTTCTGTAGCTCTTGAGCCTGCCTAGCCGCAATTCTGTGCTTGGCTGTAGCCTTTCTTCCCAGGATATTGCTGGGAGGAGGAGGGTTGTTTCCAAACTGATGGAGAAGTTACGCCAAAACTGGTGTCATGTTGATCCCATAGGACTTAAATCTCATATAGCTACGTGATAGCAAAATTCTGGGTCTGCTGAGGGTGGGCATGTGCTGTGCTGCCCTGTGGCTTTAAATGCCTTTAGGTTTTCCTGGTGGCTAGTAGGTTTTTCAAGTTGTTTAGGCCTTTTGCTCCAGCACACCTAGATTGAGACTGTCCGGAGAACCCCACCGAGCTAGCGATGGTGCTGGGTATGTTGCACTGAGAGCTGGAAAGCCAGTGAGGGGCAGCACGTCGTTCGGGTGCTCTTTGCCATGTGCACGCCTTCATTTGGGTTTCTGACCTTTTTTCTGCAGGCCGTCTTAGCCGTGGTTCTTCAGGGCGCGATACCAAGGCGACAACTGTGAGGAGCAACCACAGTCTCCCCAGTACAGCGGGCTCAGCTGGATCTCTCACCGCCCGCTCGCTCAGCAGCAGCAGCCTCCAGAACAGGCCATGGAAATAGGCAGCGGTGTCTCTTTCAGCTGAATAAATGAATGTGCAGGTTCTGGGAACCGTGAGCAGTTACAGCCCATTTGTCGTTTTAGGAATCTGCAAAGAAAAGCAGCAGCGGTATTAAAATGGCAGCTCGGGTAAGGCTGGGGGAGCTGGAATGGTTGATGTTTCGTAGAAGCGGGAATGGTATCGTTTTGATGAGGCTGACCTTTAGGTGCAGTGTCAGGACACTGTCGACATAACTGGTTCCTAGGGGAAGGAGGAAACTGGTAGTAAAGCCTGGGACCAATAGAAATGGTTCTGTGAAACTTGTAGTTCAGACTTAATGAATTTGCATCTGTTACAAATACGCCCTCAGCGCTGGGACTAAAACTGCAGACTGTGCTAATACGTGAACGCGTGTGAAAGTACATGGGTCAGAAATCATCTGTGAGCAAAACCTTTGGTGTCTAGTAGCAGCGATACAGACACTTAACAAATTGCCAAAATGATGGAGAGAGGACTCCATCATTTTTTATTTTTTAAACTTATGTTAATGAACAGAAGTATTTGTAATAAAGATTTTTTTTTTTCTTTGAAATAATGCCCAGCGTAGCACTGTAACCTGACAGTCTTTACTCATGGACAGTTTGTGAAATAGTTCTGCATTTGTAAAAGTGAGTTGGACGGGAAGATAAGTTGTTTTTTTCCTCTCCTCGTTGCCTGGAATGTTTGACTTCTAATTACGCTTTTCTGCTTTGTTCCTCACTGTGGTTGTGGAGAAAGCTACTGTGTGGTTGTTTGGTGTCTAAAGCTGATGAGAGTAATGCTCTGGTGCGTGCAGAGAAGGATTTTAGTTGACTTCTCTTAAGGCAGGACCAGCTCCTGTGCCCCTCTTCCCAGGGCACAGACAGGGTCTTCCCTGGGTTCAGCTGCATACCCGTGGTTTCTTCTTTTTCCTACTTGCAAGAGCAGGCTCAGCGTCATTGCAGAGAACTACGAAATAAATTGAGGCGACGGTCAGTTGCTCTTCTGCTGGCAAGCCTGTCTTCCCTGACCGTGATAGAGGCCAATGTGAGTCAAGGTGAGGAGGCAGAACTTCATTTTGCTTTGTAAAACGTTTGCGTGATACATGGAGGTAAATTGTGCTCCTTAGTGGAGCAGCAAAGAGCTCCACAGTGCCTGTGCTTGATAGAGGCTTATTTCTAGCTATGCCTTTGCCGGTATTTTGGAGTAGCTCCTTTAAGATTAGGGTGACTGAAGAGAAATTTTCTTTTTCCTCAAGAACCAGGGTCCCTGAAACCTAGCAGGGACATGGACTTCAGGCTCAGTAGGGCCTGAAGATTTCGTGGAAAACAAGTACCACAGCTTTCATGAAATCAGTGCTTCCAACCGTATCAGTGTTGGCTGGCTGACCTAGAAATCATCTGAAACTCCTCCATGACAAAGCTGCCTGTTAGAGGCTTTTGGGATGGCTACGTAGGGACCCTGCTCCCTAGCCTTTACCTACAGTATTACAGAGCTTAGTTCAGCTTTGGCTTCTTGGGTTGGTGGGGTTTTTTTGTATGTGGCTCTGGGGTTTTCCTGTCCGTTTGATGGAGCCAAGGAATCTTTAACAGACCCCCAAATTCCCTGCTGGTGCAGGTCAGTGGCAGAGGATTGTGGTGAAAGAAAGACGCAAGCAATTTGCGGTTCAGTAGTCCAAAACTCAACATCTCTGACCTCATTTTTTCACTGCCTACACTTAAACCTCCACTACAGGAGTGAATATTGCTGCTGTGCCTGTGACCTGGGCGAATAATTACAATGATCCTCGTGGAAGCAGGGAAGGGGTTGTATAACGAGGAGCCTTTTTGCCTCTGGAAACCAGACCCATTCTCTCTCTAGATTTATAGTCACTCATTTTAGAGTCAAATGTTGATCGTAGAGTGTGAATCACAGCTCCGAAGTCTCTACCCGAATCTTAAATCGGAGGAAGGCTCAGGCAGGTGATGTTTTTGTGGCCAGGGACTGGCAGTTTCGTTCTGATCCTGCTCAGTCCTGTCAAACCGTGGGGCCTGATCCTGGACAGCGTGATGCGCCCTCGCGTGTGACAGGCAGCCCTGGGACGCGAGAGCGCTTGGCATCTCTCAGGATCGCGCCCGGTAGCGATGTCACCAGCTTGCCCTTTTGTCACTGCCTGTATCATGCCCTTAAAAATCAGGAAGATTGTAAATTAATGCATCGGAGGGCGCTTCCTCGCTGATGTGGATTGCCGTTTCTCTGGGAAAGAGAAATTTTGTCCGCCTGTAGCATAGTTGCTCTGAAACAAGAGCCAAAGCCTGCTGCGCAGTATCCACCGTGGATCTGTGGGCCGCGACATATGCGCTGTGCCGTACGCTGGCCACGTGGGTTCAGCCCTCCGCAGGGAAGCGCGAGGAGATCCACACCGACCTCTGACACCCTGTGCGGGGAAGACTCTACAAAGCCAAGTCAAGAGGCTCTCAGCATTTAAAACGTGCTGAACTACTACAAGGACTTGTAAGAATTGAGCCGCCTTGTGTTTAAATACAGAGCTGTATTTTCATCCGTAACAACATCTGCTTACGGTGAGGTAGCCTAGAGCTCCCTGCTTCCCACAGAAGCCCTCGGATGCTTTTTGGCATTCTGACTTTATCCCGTCCCTGGGTAGTAAGGCGTCTGGTTGCTCTGTTTACAGATGTATTTATCTTGAACGAAGTAGCGTGTCTTTCCCGTTTGGACTGGTTATCTTTTTCACTGGTATGGCAGCATCACCCCTTAAAAGCATTTGTTTAAATGCGGGAGCCGCAGAGACCTCGTTCTTGGCCACAGATTTCCTCTACTCCGCAGCCTTGCGAAGCTGGCTAACTTCTCTGGGCTTTGGTTTCCCCGCTGGCCGAACGGGACAGGTCGACCCTTCCTGAGTAGTGGCGTGAGTAGGTGAAGAGCCTTAGAAAGCGTTCCCTGAGTCTGCTCTTGAAGCCTCCCAGAAATGCCAAGCGTTGGTTGGGGGAGAACCGTGACTTGCGCGGTTGCGTATTTTGATCTGGGTGTCCTGAGTCCGCTGCCCCTTTCGGGTTTGTATGTCAGCTCTATTTTTGTGGCGTTGTGAAATAAAAAGTTGAACTAAATGGCGCCTCCTCCGTAATTCAGTGGTATCTTGCCTAGCCTGGTTGGCAGCGCTCTTGAGCCTGGAAAACGATAGCGCTGAGCCGTACAGCTGAAGCCTAAGGTGCACAAGGGAGCTGAGAGACCGCTTGTTACGTGCTTAAAACAGGGACCAGCACAGCAGGCAGGGTGCCACCGGCTCGGCACCGGGAGGCAGTTCAGCTCCAGGAGCTCGCAGAAGTGCTGTTACAGATGCAAGCAAATATAGAAGGCATCCAGGTGCAAATGGGGGTAGGAGTAGGGGTCGTGTATGTCACCTTAAACCAAGTCCTGGTTTTTACTCTCCCGCTGTCGGAGAAGCGGCTGAAATCCCTGGCTGCTCTGAGCTACACGAGACGTGGAAAACCGGAGGGACAAAACTAGTCTGAGCTGTTTAAAATCCTCTTACTCCAGGGCAGCGAAGGAAAAGCTCCCTGTCCCTTCCCAGCTTCTTACTGGCGTGATGGATGTGCACGTTGTCGTGGTCTTCTGCCTTGGGGGTGTTTGGAGTGGGAGGCTGGAACTCGATCGCGTCTGGGACTTTTAATTGCTTAATTTAATAAAAAGATCAATGACAGCATGTGGCTGGGTACCTCCTTTCAATTTGAGTTGTGAAGATTAACAGAACAACTTGGAGCAGCGCTCGCGGAGAGCAGGGGGGTCAACCTTTCTCCTAGCCCGTAGCCGAGGAGGACAACTACTGAAGAGCAAAGTGGCTCCGCTATTTTCCGGCACGACCTGCGCGGTAAATACCTCTTCCCCCCCCGGTGCAGCGAAACGGCGCTGGCTTAGACAAGAACAGAGCAGCAGCAGCAAGTCCCTGCGTTGGTGAGCAATTCCTCAAGCTAGGAGGAACGAAGGACTGCGCTTCCCGCTGTAATGGGGAAAAGGGAAGCAACAAGAGACGCTTCTCTTCCAGCTTTACGTTTATTTATCGCGTTATTCCCCACCCCCCAGCTAACTCGGCCGCCCACCACTCCGCGTC